AGCTGGCTGACCAGGCCCACACCCAGGAGGCCTGTTGCTATGCAGAGACTCAGGGTAGAGTCCTAGGAACATTGATAAGTTCCTACTATGGGCCAGATAGTGTGTTAGATATCTTGTCATGTTAGCTCATTTAATTTTCTCAATAACCCTGTGAAATGAGTCTTATTAGCTCCACTTGCCACATAAGAACACTGAGTCTCAGAGAAGTTCAGCGACTTGCCTCAGATCACACAGCTGAGAAAGGCGGAGTTTGGATGCAGCCCCAGCTCAGTGCTCCCAGGGCATCTGAGTTGCCCTCTGCGGGACACTGAATAAGAACTGTACTGCTTTTCTGTCTCTCCCACTGGACTGCAGGTTCCTTGAGCTCAGGGTCAGGGCCTTTTTAGCTCTTGGCCTGGTGCTAGGAGCCACTCAATGAAGGCTGAATGAGTGCATCTCTACCCAAGTGTAAACGGCTGATCACAGTTAGAGGATGCTGGATTGGAAAATACTCTAGTAGCCCTGCGGGTTACATCAAAGACAATGGGCACCACTGAGTTTAATGTCTAATTATTTCGGGGAGGAGGAAGTGAACATATGTCGAACATTTGCTGTGCCTGGGAATTTATAACCATTATTTCATTAAAGGAGCCAAGGTTTTTCTCATGGAGAAAGGACCATTCTGCCCTTCTCCTAGAACACAGCACAGCAGGGGCAGATCAGGCTGCCCCTGGTCAAACGGTCTTCCTTGTGCCTGCAGCTTCTGGAAATTCATCTTATTGAGATGAAAGGGACCATCGCTGTCCCCTGTCTCTTTGGTCCTTGTTTCCCTGGTCTGAGGAGTGGCAGCAGGGCCCAGGGCTCAGGGCTGTCTTTCACATGCCTCCCTGTTGTCCCCCAGCATTGCTCTGGCATTATGAGGTTTGCTACCTAAGGCTGGAGAGTGGACACTGGGGTCAACTAAGCAGCCTGACCTTTGGGGAGCCCAGATGACACCTCCACCTCCCCTGCCCAGGCTCTGCTGGTCACTCTCCCAGGAGCTGCTGAACCTGAGAGGAGCAGGAGAAACCTCAAGCTCTGGTCTTGGCCTCTGATCTCTAAGATCCTCCTGCCTTCGGGGAGAGGGGCCTCAGAATTGGCCACGAGTGCTCCCTTTGGTGGAACACAGATGCCCAAGACCTGGTGAGTCACAAAGAAGCCTCCCAGCTGGGGGAAAATCCTGAGCTATTTGGAGGAAGAATCAAGGATGGCTGGCCTGCTAATTACCATCATTCTCACTAGTAACGTGCAAATAAATAACCACTAGAAATTAACACGTTATACCTAGATGGCATCTTAGGACAAAGGGCTTTGTGTCTTTTTAAGTCCTTGAGGGTAAGGGCTGGACTTACCATTCTGATCACTCCTTCCTTCTTTATATCCCGCCCCCTGCCCAGCTCCTCACCACCATCAGGTGATCAGCGTTTTACTGGGCACATAATCGGTGCCCAGGAGTTGCAGGAAAAATGGAAGTGAAGTGCTATAAAGTCATTTGAAGGAGGCAGAGATTCTTTATATTTAATGGCATGAGACACAGAAGCCAGGATAGGTGCCCAAGGCCATCCAGCGACAGAGCTAGGAAGACAAGCCCACAGCTATATAGTCCTCTGATCTTAGCTTTCCCTCCTCTCTTACTGGATGGTAACCAGGTTATGACAGACAATTTGTTTCATTTCCTTCGCTCTTTCTCACTCCGTTCACTTGCAATTAAATACATAACTTGAAAATATCAGTGAAGATTATGTTGCAATTCTTTTTCTATCCCCATCACCTCTCCCACTCAATCTCAGAAAGCTGGCCTGAGAAGAAAATGCTTTCTACTTTTCTCCTCCAAGTCCAGTTACAGTTTCATGATTTAAAAAATTGTCTTGCCTTTTATTTATAAAATAACAGTTATTTATAACTTTGGCTCTGACTGTGGAAATAAACTCAGGGTGTGATACTTGGGGACACGGGAAGTATGAAAATTCTGGAAGTGTTACTTCCATTAGTTTTGTTTTTGCTGGCAACATACTATTAACATTTTATTTTACTGTTACAATTTATCTAGTTCATCAGAGGCCAAAGGTTTGACAAAATTAGTTCAGTCTGCATAATTTTATTTATGATGTTTTCCATCTCATATACATTTAAAATGATCAATTATATGGGATTAAATTAGTATGTCAAATACATCTTAAACCACTACCAAAAATAAATAATATTTTCAGAAAACATAATCCCAACATTATGAATCAGTGGTAAGTCAAAAGCTACCTACCTGAGCATAGAGCAAAGAATTCAAATGCTAGTGAATAAATTCTTTGCAGCATAGAGCATTAGATGCTAGCAGAGCTGTTCTTCTAAACAAGCTACTTTTTTTTTCACTACTATTACCTTCTGTAGAAGGAGTAGAGATTTAAAAAAATCGACGTCAGTGATTTCTTGAAAATCATTCTGACAATATATATTTTTTATTGTGGTAAAATATACATAACACACAAAATTTACCATTTTCACTATATTTAAGTGCACAGTTCAGGGACATTAAGTACATTCACATTGTTCGGCGACCATCACCGCCATCCATCTTCAAAACTTTTCATCACCCCAAATCTTAGCAATAGAGTTTAAAATACTTATTTTCTTTTTATTAAGAAAAGTGCTCCTGTTTTCGCAGCCCATGTCTTGGAGATAATAAGGAGGATAATAATCATTCTCATTTATTAAGCTTGCCAGGTGCATTATAGGTGTCATTTCCTTTAGTCCTCCAACAACCTCTTGAAACCTGTGCCTGGCCTCCATTTCACAGATGAAGAAGCTGGAATGGCCAAGGACACACAGTGAGCCTGAATTTGAGCTCAACTGGTCCTCAGCTTTTATCCAGTCAGCCTGTGCAAGCGAGAATGTGCCTCCTGGCCTACCCTCTCCAAGCCGAGGATACGCCTCTCGGCTAGCCTCCTCCGTTTCCCCACACCCAGCCAGTGACTGGAAGCACCCTCTATTCCAGAGGTTCTCCACCTGTGGGTCGCGACCCCTTTGGGGGTCGAATGACCCTTTCACAGGGGTTGCCTAAGACCATCGGAAAACAAAAAGATATTTCCATGACGATTCCTAACAGTAGCAAAATTACAGTGATAGAGTAGCCACGAAAATAATTTTATGGTTGGGGTCACCACAACAGGAGGAACTGTATGAAGGGGTCGTGGCGTTAGGAAGGTTGAGAACCGCTGCTTATTCGGTTTGTGCCAAAGTCAGAGGCTGTCCCTTTCCTGCCTCTCTTGGCTTTATGACCCAGGCTCTCTGAACGGAAGTCCCTCTGCTTTCCACACGCAGCAACTCCTCTCCACTTCCCTGTCCTCATTGCATTACCAGCTCTTCCTCACCACTGGGTCCTCCTACTCTTCCTTCCCGGAAACTCTTTCCCAGGGGCCTATCTTCTGAAAAGACAAACTCCCCTCGTACTCCCCCCTCCAGGACCCTCCCTCACCTCCTTGTGCTGGCTGAACTGTAGCTTTTGCTGGAGTCACTATTCCCACTTTCAAGGCATCTGCACTTCCCATCCTACCAGTACCCCCCTCACTGACTGAATGTTTGCAATCTGGTGAGCCTTCCTCTCCACCTCCCCCTGTAGTCTCCACCCGGCACGTGAGCCTCACAATTCCTTTCTCTCCAACAGTCTTCACCTTCTCTCCACTTCCACCTCCTCTTCCCAGAGCCAGGCTCAGGACCCCTGTAAAATACTAAATATGGTCTCCCCTTCTGTGACCACCGCCTCCTCTCCCTTCAACCCCCTCATGGCCTCGTTTCTTCCACGCTGCTCTTCAACCTGTGGCAACCCAGTCCCTGTCCCTTCAAGCCCTCCTATTGCTCTTCTTTCTGCATGGTTTCTCAGTGCCCTCACAGCTCTATTTTTTCAGCTACTCTTGTCTGGAAAGACTTTAGCTCTAGGTTCCTCATTCCTGGCTCTTCCCCCACACAGGGCTGATGAAGAACAACACAAAACAGACTCCACTTTGAACTCCTGGCCTCCCCCTTCAGCTGAGCCCTGAGTGTCACCCAGCAGTTCTTGGATTAGCTCCTTCACCTGTTTCTTTCCAGAGTAACCGGCAAAGCTTCACCGTCGTTCTTGAGACACCTACTTGGTTCCCTCTCAACGGAAGATAGTGCCTCTTATTTCATTGAGAAAAAGTCAGACTCTCAGTCTTGAACTCCCTCAACTTCCCACCTGTGATATACAGGTGTACGAAGCAGTGTGTTACAGTGGAAGTTTCGGCAGAGGTGCTACAATATGGTAGATGTCAGCTGGAAAGTGGGTCGGGAAACAGACTGCTCCCAGGACCTTGCATTTCCAAAGGTTCAGGATAGAATCTGTTAGATGGCTCTAAATTCCACAGCATGGTTATAAAAGGATTGAAAAGGAGGATTCGAAAGGATTTCTTAGGAGAGCGTTGTGTTGTGGATACACACCCCACAAGAGGGAGAACAGGTAAGACCTTGCCTCCACCCAGAAGAGGGCTTCTGGGAGGCTCCGTGGAAAGCTGAATATGTGACCCCTGGGGCTTGGTGGCTACAGCAGATTTGTGTCTGACATGCATCTGAGGGATCCAAAGCAAAAGGGAACAGAGCCAAACATCTTTTCCAAATTAGCTCTATCTCTAGTCTTTTCTCATTAGTAAACAATGATGAAAAGAGCTCTACTTGATGCCACTGCAGTAAACCCCTACACAAGTGGGGTCATGGTTGCCATGGAGCAGAAGAGCTATCAGTCACTAGTCAGATGATACACACTACGCTTCAGCTAATGAAAACCATACACTACTTTCTTGGAAAATCTGTAGATTCAAGTACTTATAACTGTAGATCCCCTACCTTTCCCTGGGTAGAAATACCGCTCTATAGGTGAATTCAAATTCCATCTGCCTAACCCTGATGCCTTAATTCTTCTACCCTCTGTCTCTAGTCAAAATTGCCTTCAGTTCTTAGCTCACTTCATGCTCTATCTTGGCTTTGTTCATACTGTTTCATCAGCCTGGAAGCTCTTCCTATATTCTGGGCTTGAGTAGATGCCCGTTCACTGTGGTCTCCAAATATCCAAGGTATATCTCTATCATTGCATTTACTATATTGTATCATAACTGTCTTTTTAAGTGTCTGCAACCACTACTAGATGTGAAATGCTTAAGGTAAGAAATGTGTGTGATTCAGCTCTGTCTGTGTGGGACCTAACACAGTGTCTGACATACAAGTATAGTTGGTGCTCACATAATGTTTGGTAAATGAATGAATGAATGAATGGTACCTGCCGGTCTGCCAGATCAATCTTGTTCCCCAGCACCACCATAGGGTAGGACTGCTCCATTGGAATGGTTTTGGCCAGAACATCACCCCGCCAGGTATCAAGGGCTTCAAAAGACTCCATGTCAGTGACGTCAAAAGCCAGGATGCAGCCATCAGAGCCTTTGTAGAATGTGGACACTATGGAGCGAAACCGCTCCTGCCCGCCTGTGTCCCAGATCTGGAGGGAAGAGCAGTCGCCCCATGGGCCTGTGATGAGTGGCTGCAGAAGGTCCAACTGGGTCACATCATGTCAAAGCTTCCTTTCCTGGGTAGGGAGCAGACAGCCCTGGCACATGTGCATGTGGTCCTTTCCAACGTGGGCATCTTGACCCTGTCACCCACTTATACTATGGGATCTTGGCACTAACACTTAGCATCCAAGAGTACTTTCACACCTGCGCTCTGGTTTTCCCCCTGGGTCATCAGGACAGGCATTGCTATTCTCATCTGATAGATCTGGACCTTGGAAGTAATTTGCCCAAGGCCATTTGTCAAGTTTTCCAGGCATCCTGAGAATAGGAGTGGGGCCTCACAATTCCTGGATTAGAGCTCTTCCTTTTAGATCAAGGATCAGCACATTTTTTTTCTATGAAGGGCCACACAGTAAGTCTTTTAGGCTTTGCAGACCACATTATCTGTTACAACTACTCAACTCTGCTGCTGTAGTTTGAAAGCAGCCATAGACCATGGTGTCAAATGGGTATGACTATGTGCCAATACAATCTATTTACAAAGAAAGGTGGACCAAATTTGGCTCATGAGCTGAAGTTGCTGGTGTCTGTGCTGCACTATTCTAGCTCCTGATGCACGTTGCTGCCCAGAGAATGGGGGGTTGGGGTGAGGGGGGTGGGGTGATTTTCAGGAATGTATGTTGAAAATGGACAGGGAGGGCTGGCTGCTCACCTGTAACTTCAAAGTTGTGTCATCCAGTATGATAATCTTGGAGAGGATGCTGGCCCCCAGCGTGGTCTGGTAGTCCTCATAAAACGTCTTGTGCACGTATTGGTGGAGGAGGGAGGTCTTTCCTACACTGAGGGAAAACCCGAGATACATGTGAACACACACGTACACATGCACACACATGTCCATATCCTTCTCAAAATCTTACTATGCCCCTCTCACCACTGTCTCTCCCTGAGATTCTGAATTTCTAACATTTGTGGTCCAGGGGCCACACTTTGGGTAGCAAGGGACTAGGGAATGGTTTCTAGAAGTAGGGACCAGTAAATAGAGAGGTTTGGAGAGAGCTGAGTGCCCCAAAGCAAGGGTCAGGTTTTTCCCGTATGTGGCAGGAGGTGGGAAGGCAGATAGATGCTAAGTAGCTTGTTACTGCTACTTGTTACTGCAGAACTTGGACCAGAAACCAGGTAGCCTGATCCCCAGCCTCTTTCTCCCACCTGAGCTCCTTTCCTTGGTGTGGGATGCCCTCCCTGGTGCCACCCTGAATCAGAAAAGGACACATGAGAGGAGGGAACACATCCAGGAGGTCTCACTGCCCTTGGCTAGGGGGCTGCTTTCCAACCCCCAGACCCCAAGTTGAGCTTGGCTTACCCCAGGGCTCCAACGATGATGAGCTTCAGGTCTACTTTCTTCCGGGGATTCATGGAGGCGGTTCAGAGCCTGTAGGGAAGTAGGAGTCATCCACATGCTGGCCAGAGAGTCCCCTGTGGCTGAGGCTGGCCTCAACTTTCCCCTCCTAGATGTGCAGATCACAGTGCCCTGGGCTGAGGACTTGGGTGGGGTGGTTCTCTAAAACGGGTGGATAACTCAGCAACCCTTATACACCCTCTGTTTAACTTCCCCTGGAGGCTTCCCCAAGGCTGGAAGGGTGGTGATCCCACAGGACAGGTACAGCTCTCACCATTCAGCTCTACCAACCCTGTTCTTGGAGGCAGCCTGGAGTGCCAGGAAGGCCAGAGGGGGTTGAACAGAGGCCTTGCAGACAGTCAAGCCTGGAGCCAGGGATGGAGAGCAGCAGGAAGAGGAGGTGGGGTAGGACAAGGGGTTCATTGTCAGGACTGCCAGAGAGATTTTAGATGGAAGAGCGCCCCTCCCCCAGCCCAAGGTGGTACAGCAATTGCAGAATCAAAGGTTCTTTTTTTAAAAAGATTTTTTATTGGGGAATTGGGGGAGGGGAACAGACACGTTGCTGTCCTTTTGTTCTTCATTCTACTTGTGAAAGTCAAAGGCTCTTTTCTAAGGCAGCTGGTGGGGTTGTAATTGGTACATGTTTCTGCAAAGCTACTTGGCAGCAAGTAGTGAGACTCTTAAACATGTTCCTGACCTCCATTTTTAGGACTTCGTCCTAAGGAAACACAATCTGAAATGCAGGGCAAGAGTCTTGTTCAAGAATGCTCTTCATAGGGTTATTTATAAATGTCCAACATTAAAGAAGTGGTTAAATAAATCAGAGCACACAATGAACTATGAAGCAGTTATTAAAATGGAGTTTTTGAGCATTTATAATAATGTGGCAAAGTGCTGCCACAGGGTCCATATGGAAAACAGAAGACACTAAACTGTACACACAGCATTACCACAAATACTAAAATGAGTTCACACTTACATAGAAAAAGTTCTAGAAAGAAGTACATAAAAAATTTAAGTAGTTATTAATCCTGAGTGGTAGGAACTATATGACTTTAATTTTGTTCTCTATGATTTTTAGTAGTTCCATTTTTTTTTACAATAGACACGTCAAACATATATTGTTCTTATTAGAGAAAAACACATGTGTATGTGCGTGCATTTAATATATACATATATAAATTTGTATGTTTATTCATTATATTTTATTTAACAAGATAAAGCAAAACTGTCACAGGGGATTGTGCTAACTGGCTCTTTTGTT